TGAGATCGCTCAATGTTTCTCAAAGGGTGGTCTCTGGGGATCGTAAGTGGCCTGCAGTGGTTAATAGAGGAGTCCCTGGGTGTCGCAAATGGTTGAGGATTCGATTAGTGACTACTAACCAAAAGGTTAGTGATTCAAACCCATCCAGAGGCACCTAGGAAGTAAGACCTGGCAGTGTGTTTCCAAAAGGTCACAGCTTTGAAAACTCGATGGAGCAGTAGTTCTACTCTGCACACGTGGGGTTGCCATGAGTCAGAATTGACTTGATGGCCGCTAACAACAACAAATGGTTAATAGACTGGGCTTTACTGATTTCAACATCTATGCAAATTTAACATACTGAACTTAGTAATGAATTAATATATTTACATGTGAAATTTAGTGAAAACTAACTTCACTTTGTTTTCACCAAAAGCAACTTTGACTTTTTTAAACCTGATGAGATTTCTTCTCTGACCCTAACTGGGAATAGCTGGAGTCATGGCCCATGCAGTGTTATGTCTTGCTGAAAACTTGGTGCTGGACCAAAAAGCTTGAGAACCACCACATTAGGAGTAAAGAAAGGCAAGTTGTTTGGGGTGGTTTGTTGCAGGTCACATCCTTGAATACTCTATAGAGCAGTTCTACTCTGCACCCATGGGGCTGCCATCGGAATTGACGCAACAGCATTGTGGTGATTCAGGATTCATTATTCATCCCACAAATATTTATTGAACGCCTATTATGTAACCTCCATGCAGTGGAGCTTGCAGTATGGTGGTTGCCAAGCAAAACTTGGTTCATTAAAAAATACCAGCCAGTAAAACAAATGAATGGGAAATGAGAGGACGAAGCCCAACTTTTTCGGACCGAGTACGGTACAACCTGGCTAAAATCACGTCGGAGTAATTAGCTCCCCCCAGATGGATGATAAAAGAATATATGCAGGGCTTTAGTAGGAATCTGTTGGAGAGAATAATTATTACAATATGTGCTGGAAAAGAACCATAATAACGGATCATAAAAATAGACCATGGCTCTTAACTAATTCATCAGACCAGATCATACTAGTTGACAAAAGTAATGAAGCCTACGTGGTAGAGAGGTAACATTTAGGAAAACTACTGTAATCACCTACACAGACAGGAGTGAGCAAACACATGCTCTCTGCAGAGGGATAATATGGGAACCGCAGAGCGTCAGACTAAAGCAGTTGGGGTTCACATACTCATATACGCATACCCACTCACCTCAGAACTTATTAATAACTTAAAACCGCTTTTATTTTTGCAACTGCCGTTTTACCTGAGGAGTTTTATCCCAATATTGTGTTGCCAAGACATATTTGGTCTGCGGGATCCATGTTGTTGTTGTTAGTTGCTGTTGATTCGCCTCTGACTCATGGTGACCTTGTGTATAACAGAACAAAATGCTGCCCGACCTATGCCATCTTCATGATTGTTGGTACGTTTGAGGCCATTGTTGTGGCTTTGGTGTCAATCCATCTCACTGGGGCTTTCCCTTGTTTTTCTTGGCCCTCTACCAAACATGATGTCCTTTTTATGACATGTCCAAAGTAAGCGAGTGAAAGTCTTGCCATCCTTACTTCTAATAAAAATTCTGGTTGTATTTCTTCTAAGACTGATTTGTTCATTCTTTTGGCAATCCATGGTATATTCTCTATTCTTTCCCAGCATCACAGTTCAAATGCACCAGTTCTTCTTTTGTTACCTGTCAGTTTGTTGTACTGCGGTGGCTTGCATGTTGCCATGATGCTGGAACCAATCGCTGATATCTCAAATACCAGCATGGTCACCTATGGTGGACAGGTTTCAGCAGAGTCTGCAGACTAAGACAGACTAGGAAGAAAGACTTGGTGATCTACTTTCAAACATTAGCCAATGAAAGCCTTATGGATTGCAATAGAATTGGATCTATGGCATGTAATAAATTGATCCCCTTGTGTTTAAAAAATAAAATAACAGAATGATAATAGTAACTTGGTATAATGTATTGATGTGTGAACTCTAAGCTAGTTGAGGGTAGACTCTGTATTTCTCAAATTGTATCCCCTGATGCACAATTTCTGTTGCCGACAAAACTCAGTGATATCAAATTAGATTATTCATATTGCTGTAAATAAAATAACCACACCATGAAGACTCAGTAAAACAGAGTAAATCCGTAAGGCTAAACCTTGTTCCATCGCCAAGCACCAGCATCATAATCTAATTCCATGTTATTTTCTGCAGCTTATATGCAAATTGTAATCAACAATTAAGATAAGGTAGCTAACAATGATATCAGACATAGTTGCTAACCTGTCGCCATTATTGGCTTGAATGTATGGGGGTAGTCGGCATTTTGATGGACTAGGTTTGAAATAGAGTTATGGTTATGGTAGGAAATAACTTTCTCCCCATCTTTGCTCACTTTGACACATCAATGAATCTCTTTTAACCTTCAGCAGTAGGATTTCCAATCTTGACTAATTCTGTTGGTTGGACGTTAGTCTAATTATTACCATTAATTACTACTTTCAGATGTAGGCCATAGACACAGAAGTGTGGAATTTTCCCATTCTACTTTATGTAATCTCAATATTGGTTAGTAAGAGTGACATTCTTTCATCACTTTAGCAACTAAAGCTCTTAAGTGGTGTCCAAGAAAGGCTCACCTTATAGCAAATTCTCTTATAAATAGGGAATGATTAATATTAGGGGCAGGTTTTAATAATGCTTACCCACATCTTTCCCACACCAAACACAAACAGACCTTTCTGCATAATTTGAAAATATCTTACAGGCCCCCTAACTGATCAGTATGACACAGGATTGAGGTAGCTGAAGAATGAGATCCATACCCCTCTTGTAAAGGAGGGGAAATCGAGGCCTGCGGCAATTAAGTGATCTGGCAGTGGTCACTCAGATCATGCCCACAGAGACAGAGTAGTTCCAGGAAAGCACTGAAAAAAAATTTACTAGAAAAACAAGGCATATTTAATAAATGGATAACCCAATTATGCTGCTGTTTATTCTATCTTGGATCAAAATCATTTTCTCAGCATTAAAGTCACCCTTTATTTTGAGACTTAGAAGTAAGTTGTCAGTATTCACAGGGGAGAGGACAGATGCTCTTCGATAAGTGACGGTAAAAGCAAATGAGGAATAAAGTATGAGAAGTTATTCTAATTACTTTCCTTAGACAAGGGCAAGTGGAAAAAGAGTCTGAGTATCTTCCTCGAAATATAATAACAGTAATAGAGTTTAAACAATATTCTTGATACAGTAAAGCTGTGAAATTATTCTAAGTGACTGTATTTATAGGTGATCAGTGGGAACTCATTTTAAATTCACAGAGAAAAGAGCTTCTCTTTGTGAAACTTGTATGACCGTATGAGTAATAGTGGTGTGAAGAGTGTTTATATTTTTTAAAAATTTGTTATGTTTTTAATATTTGACTGGCGGTGTTAGCTAAGGCAAATGTTTTCACTTCATGTTTCAGAAAAGTGAGAGTATGCATGTATTTGCCCAAATAATACCTGTCAAATACATTAGTATTTTAGGGGAAAGATGTACAGAGTAGAAATTGATTTTTGTTGCGAGATAATAGAGGTCCTTTCAGACAAAGGGTGACTATTCCATGAGTTGAAGCAGACCCCCTTCTTTCACGGGCACGGGTGCCTTGGGGGCCCTTCTGGGATCATCTACACCTACCCATTGCCGTCGAGTCGATTCCGACTCATAGTGACTCTATAGGACAGAATAGAACTGCCCCATAAGGTTTCCAAAGAGCGGCTGGGAGATTCAAACTGCTGACCTTTTAGTTAGCAGCCAAATGCTTAAACCACTGTACCTCCAGGGCCTGCACCTACACCTAGCATTATTTTAAGGAAGCAAGTTGTTTCTTGTGCTCCAAGGAAAAGCAGCACATTTTAGATCAGCGACAACAGCCATGGTCCATCAGCAGCACATTAAACTTATATCAACTCAACTCTACAAATTGGCAAAAAGAAAAGTATGATTTAAATTGTGTAACTTAAGTTTGCATAGTACTTCTTAGGGTATTTGGTAAAACATTATGTTATTATATAGATTGGTAATCACAAAACCATATATACTGTACTTCTATTGGCTTTTGGGGGGGATTTGCAAAGGCAATTTTGACTACACTCAATTTTTGCCTAATGTCCTCACCTTAGGACTTAACTCCTACATACAAAATGACTACGCTGTAGTTTAACAGGTAACTGAGAGAGTGACATAAGGTTTTCTCCCTGCAAAGCTACTCTATTCCAGATAACTCATCTAGAGCAGCAGCGTTATTTTAACATTCATTCCAAATCAGCTTGTAAACCCAAATTAACGAAATTACCAAGGTAATTTTTTTTGCATTTTCTGATTTTTATTTACTCTCGTATAACCGAGATAACTCTTGTTGAGGGGTCATGAAGTGCCTGAGATGAAAGGGCATTTAAGCCCATGGGGGAGCCACCAGAATCATTTGGTAAGTTGACTCCAGTGCTACTTCTGTATCCCTCAGTAACACTGAAGTTGCTGGGGTGCAACGTTTGATGTGTCACTCAGGGTGGGTCCTCACACTGAGGATTACCCAGTCATGCCCCCCTCTCTTGCTGTCCTAAGTCGCCAACCCCAAAGACTTTCAGCAGGACCCAAAGAACGCCAGTGCACAGTTTGCCTCAAAATCTTCCTGCACAGATGGGGGTTTACTTGGTAATAACACCCCCCGGATGGTTTCCATGGGCAGGACTTCTGCTACAACAGCCTTGTGGTATTTTTCTTTCTCAAAGTCAATATGCACTTAAGAAAGCACAATAGGAACTCAGAGTGTGGGGAGCCTAGTGCACTTCAGCAAGGCAGGACCCGGTGTATATGTCAACATTTTTCTTGCCTAATTTAGGAATTGGGGGAGGAAGAGGGCTTTCTCACGTTCCTCAGGTAGAAGCAGGAGATATTCATGCGTTTCTGTTTTCCTTCCTCCCTCTCCCCGTGACCCTTCAGATTTATGAGGAATCCAAGATGAATTTGGAGCAGGAGAGGCCGTTTGTCTGCAGTGCCCCAGGCTGCTCCCAGGTGAGTGTGAGGATCTTTGGCTCTGGCTGGCAGTGCCTCCCACCCCTTCCCCAGGGAAGCAACTCTTATTTTACAATCCTGCCTCCTGTGGGTGATTCTTCTTTAGCAAGATACCGCTCACCACCATCTTATAATCATCACCATCTTCACCATTATGGTTATTCTCCTTTCTGAGTAGTTTGAGCTACTTCTGTCCCAGCCCCTCACATACGGCTGAGTTGGCCATTTCTACCCATAACTTCCTCCTGGAAGTCAGCCAGGCTCATCCTGCCTACCAGATGTGCAGGACTGTTGTTTCAGAAAGGGGGAAGGAGGCTGCCTGCTTTTACAATGACTGTTTGAATACTGGGCCTTTGAATTGATGGTGAAATATTTTACTGTCGTAGACTGAATTTTATTCTGTTTTGTTTTCCCCTTTGAATAATATAGCCTCCCTCATAACTCTTATGAGGGTAGTGGTGGTTCAGTGGTAGAATTCTCACCTTCTAAGCAGGAGACCCAGGTTCGATTCCCAGTCAATGCACTTCATGCACAGCCACCACCCATCTGTCAGTGGAAGTTTGCCTGTTGCTCTAATGCTGAACAAGTTTCAATGAGCTTCCAGACTAAGGTGAACTAAGAAGAAAGACCTGGCGATCTACTTCCGAAAATCGGCCAGTGAAAGCCCTGTAGATCGCAAAGGTCCTATCCAGTTGTATATGGGTTGCCACGAGTCAAGGGCCAACTCCATGCCAGCTAACAACAACATAACTTTTCTAGAAGCCACAGTTTTCCCATTTATCTGAACTTTGAGATGGACAGTTGGTCTGCTGTGCTGGATTAAATCTTTTTTAGCCTCCAATGGTACCTATCAAGTGGAATTGCTATGAGGATTAGATGAGTTAATGCCTTTAGAGTGTTTTGTACAGAGCTTGCACATAGTAAATGCTCAATTAATGTGTTGTTGTTGCTGCTGCTGCTACTGCTACTATTATACTAGAATCTATCTCTTTGAAAGGAACTGGAAATATCCATCACCTAAAATCAAAGTTTTGCATTTTACCTGTAGAACCTGATAGTGACTTTCTCCACATTTGACTCTCGGGTTATCTCCACATTCTGGTCTTCGGAAAATTGAGGCCAATGACTGCATGTGGCTACTCTCATGCCAAAATCTTCACTTTAGCTTAGACCTTAGAGCACAGGCATGTTTCCAATGTGGGCAGTTAGGCTCTCTTTCCCTAAATTGCCCAGTAGCTTCACGTGAAATAAAGTCCCACCCTCGTGTATGTTTATATGGTGGGGTTGGTACTACAGAACAGTGTCGAGGAGTCAGTGAAGAGGGTGATGCCACATGAAGACCCTTCTTATTATATCTCCTCAGAGAGTTTGTAGAGGGTTCTTGGAACCTTCTGGAGGGAAGATGATATAGAAACATTAGATATTATTGCTGATGCTGCCTTGAGGGATTGCTGATGTTGTCAGTAGCTGATGGAGCAACCAGGATCCTTCAAGTCCCAGCAGGTTCAACAGGAGCTTTTGTGTGAATGTTTATTTCCAACCCATAAATAAGAAAAGCAGAAGATAAAATTATTTTAAAGTACAGTTATTTCAAAGCAAATTGGTTTTGGAGGTCATTTGGAAATAGGAAACACAGATGGGTTGATAAGTAACTTGGAAAAATCCTGCTCAGCCAGGACTAGCCGTAGTGAATGCAGAAAATTGCCTTATCTAACTAAGGGAAAACAGATCTGCACTCAGTTTCTTTAAAGAGAAGTCTCTACAGCCAAAGGGAATCAAATAATTTGAGCAGTGTGCTTTGCTTTGACTCTGGAAATGTAATGTTAAATTTTATTCAGTTCAAGTCACTCAACACATTGTTCTGACTTTACTCTGTGCAGGCACTGTGGTAGCCCTGGGAAAAAGAGCAGCACAGTATAGTCCTGTCCTCATGGAGCTTCTGGTGTACACATCAAACATGTAACCAAATGATTAATTGATCGATCAATTAGTTAATTATAATTTTCTATGAAGGAAGCCACCTTGCAAGGGTATCATAAACCAAAAAAAAAACAAAAACAAACAACCAAAAAAAAAACACACCAAACCCATTGCCGTCGATTCCATTCCGACTCAAGTGACCCTATAGGACAGAGTAGAACTGCCCCCATAGGGTTTCCAAGGCTATAAATCTCTACGGAAGCAGACTGCCACAGCTGTCTCCTGTAGAGTGGCTGGTGAGTTCAAACTGCTGACCCTTTGGTTAGCAACCAAGCGTTTAGCCACTGCACAATCAGGGCTCCTTGAGTATCATTACCAAAAAAACCAAACACGTTGCTGTCAAGTCGATTTTGACTCATAGCGACCCTATAAGACAGAGTAGAACTGCCACATCGAGTTTCCAAGGAGTGCATGGTGGATTTGAACTGCCAGCCTTTTGGTTAGCAGCTGTAGCTCTTAACCGCTATGCCACCAGGGTTTCCAAGAGTATTATAGAGAGGTTTATTTTACTTAAGGGCTGGGTAACGGGAGGCTTCTCTAAGGAGGGGTCGTTTAAGGCAATGGGATTCTCCAGATTCCAGGGTGAGTTAGGGTGCCCAGCAGTGTCAGAGTTATGACTGACAGTAGAGAAGATCACTTCAAGGAAGTGGTTGTTACCCGTATCTAATATTTAAATAAGTCAGAAAAAAGAGAACTGTGGACAGGTTATTGGGCTGGATGGCAAAGTATCCCAATCTTAGCACTATCACCACTTAGGGCTGGGTAATTCTTTGTTGTGGTGGGCTGTCCTGTGCATTGTGGGACATTTAGCAGCATCCCTGGGTTCTACCCACTAGATGCCATTAGCACTCCCCAGTTGTGACAACCAAAAATGTGTCCAGACGTTGCCAAGTGTCCCCTGGGTGGCAAAATCACCCCCGGTTGAGAACCACTGCTTTATGGTTTGCGTGTTGGCTTTACCCTGTCTTCTTTTTGGGTCCCTTCCCTTTATGGGATCACCTACTTCTAACTGATGCTCTCCTACTCTATTTTATATATTGCTATAAGCCATCTTAACTCCTTTTTGGAATCAAGCGGGGTATAAATAAATAAATGCCACAGAGATGCGGTCACTGGTGTCAGACGCACTAGAGCGGGGGCAGTGTGAGGGCTGAGTAAGGCTGTTGGACTTGGCAGTTGGGTGCTTACTGGCAACCTATGAGAGAGGAGCAGGGGTGGAGGCCAGATTGCAAGGGATTAACGTGTGTGTGTGGGTGGGAGGAAGTGGAGGTGGAAAGTATAGAGGACTCTTTCAAGAGCGTTAGGCAGTGAAGGGAAGCAGAGTGATCTAATGGTAGCCTGAGAAGGAAGCAGCTTGGAAGAGATTCTTTTTAAATTAAGGTGTAGCTGGGCTAGCTTTAGTCAAGAGCAAGAGACCGGTGAGAGGGAAAGAGAGAGAATGCTAGCGTGAAGGGCCATAACTGAACAGCAAATCCCAGAAGACAAGGAATGTAGAGGATCCTGTGGAGGAGTGAGGGCGCTTATTCTGAGACATATGGGAATAGGAAGAGAATTCAGAGGTGGAAGTGGTGATAAGGGTTGAAGGAGTATGTTCTGAATGACCTTGAACTTCTCAGTGAAGGAGCAGGTCATTCTCTTGAGAAGGCTTATGGACTACAGCAATGCTTGGACAAACGTATGGGAATTGTATCTTATTTTCAGGTACAATTCCAAGCTACCCCCAACACGCATTTAGATACAAAGATGCATCTAAAACTCTCTGTCTAGGGTACAGGAAAGCTGGTAATAGGGAACCCAAGGTTGAGAAGGGAGAGTACTGACATGTCATGGAGTTGTTAACCAATATCATAAAACAATGTATGTACTATCTGTTTAATGAGAAGCTAGTTTGTTCTGTAAACCTTCATCTAAAGTGCAATAAAAACAAACAAAAAACAAAACAAAAAAAGAATAATATCTTTGTAAAACTTATATTCCCCCCCCAAAATAAATAAATAAAACTCACTGTCTATATTTAATGTGAAGTGTTTCTTTCTTTCTTGATATGCTGTTTTTAAAAGATGGTGCGTCTTTCAAGTGAGGAAGTATTAGAATCAAGGAAAAGTGGTAGCTGCTCAGTAGTGTCCAGGATTCCCTGGTGGGGTATTAGGAACTCACAGTTGAGCCAGTTACTATGATCATGACATTGACTTTAGCAACATCCCGTAGCCTGGGATGTAGAAAAAAAGGTGACTGATAATAGAAAAGGGGAGTAAATATGCATGTCAGTGCTTGCATTGAGTTGGGGGCATTGAAAGGATTTTGCCTCCTTTCTCTCTCATTGGAAAGACACTTGGCTGTAGTAGAAACAATCTATGATACATGGGAGATTTTTGACGCTGCAGCTTCTTACACGTCTTTGTCCCAGAAGTAAAGAGAAACAAGCTTCTCTTGATCTTTCTAATCACCCAGACCCCAGTGGTAATTTCACTTTTTCCTCTCCATTAACCATGGTTTGAATCCCAGTGGCCTCTGTCAGCTCTATATTTGTTGTAAACTGTACATTTTGGTTATTTAAAATTTGCTGCTAATTTTCCACCTAATTTTTTAAAAAAGCATGGGTGTTCTGTAATGTCTCTTTTGGAAGGTAATTATAGTTAATATTAGGCATTATGGAAATGATTATTATTATTTAATAAGTATTCTGGTCACTATCCTATTTGGGGCTATCTTTTCATGAAGCCAAAAATGGTTTATGGATATAAAATGAAGGATATTACCATATTGTTTGTTGTTATATATATCACAGAAAAAAATTTGATAAGGCTTTTGAAAAAAGACTAGGAAATTTAATCTGTCTCTAAGTCATAGGTAGTGGTTGTATCACATATTTGATGTGGTCATTATATAGTGTCAGAGAATATCAAGAAAATAGATGAAACAGCAGCAAAAGGCCACATGTCATTATAGAGTAAAAGTCTATGTATTCAGAAATTTGACATATTACCTTTTTTTTGTGAATTCTGTGCTTTCCAAATCATACAATACAAATGGCAAGTAAACATGTGGTATTTATGTGAAGATCTACTTTTATTATATCCACAGATTCAGCCCAGTAAATTCCCTCATTCTCATGAAAACAAGATCATGCTATTTTCAGAAAAGATTTCTACCACATTATACAATGGTGACTGAAACTTACACTGACTGGCCTGAGATACTAGGAAGCTCCAAAAGATCATCTAAATTGTCAAAGAAAGATTCAGAAATGTTCAGTAGAATTTGTTGTCTTTCATTGTATTTTCATTTGACTTTGATAAAACAGATACTCTGGTAAGTTCAGTTATTAAAAACACATCAAATCTGAGTCAGAATAGGCAAGGATCTGCTGCAGTAACAAATTATCCCAAAGTTTCAATGGCTTAAAACAACACAGGTGTATTTCTGTTGCTCAAGGATACATTTCTATGGTAGGTTGGCAAGAAGACTCTGCTCTTGATAATCCTTCAGAGACCTAGGATAATGGCGGGGTCACTACTATCAATATTGCAAGTCACCATGCCAAAGGGAAGGTGGGGCACATGAGAGAGTCTCGAATAAGGAATTAAATGTTCTCACCTGGGTGTTGTGTCACTTCTTTTCATGATTCAGTGGGAAGAACTAGTCACTTGCCCCACTCAACCACACGAGGGCCAGGAAGTACAGTCCCACCATATGACAAGAAGTCAGACAGCTGAAAATATTTGGGAGCAGGATTTGTGACAACTGTAATATCATCCTCTGACAATTAAAAATAAAATGCTGGCGTACTACACTGTACAGAGTATAGAATCTTAAAAATAATTTGTCATGTTGCTATAAAATGATATGTGTAATTACGAAAAACTCAGATAATGGGTGTGCAAGTTCTTCATAAACACAAATGTACTATGCAAATGTCATGGTGTATATTTGTAGATATATACGTCAAATAATTAAGCATGGCATGTAATTCTTTCCCAAAGTCTGACATGAATCAAGATTCTTTTCCTACTTCATGCACGTCTCCTACTTTTGGTTAATCTATAGATAATGTCTAGCATACTTATCATGCCTTAGACTTAATTTTACACTATTATGTTGAACAGTAACTGCTAGAGAAAAGTTCCAAATGGTTTTGCAAAACTCTAGTGCTACTCAAGTCTAGATCCACTTTCCTATTTTGCACGTGATTTTCTCATGTAAAAATGAGAGAGTTTTACTTTTGTCACCCTGCTGTTATTAATTCTCTGTAACCTTAAATAAAATTCATTTAAACACTCTTTTATTTTTTAAAGAAGCTACCTAACATTGGTAGTTATTAGGTTAAAGCATATTCCTGGTGTATATGTTATTTTAATATTTCCAGTATTGTTCATTACCTCTTCCTATTTTATATTTTAACTAAATATAAAGTTTAAAGTCTACCCTTTAGTTCCTAAGGAAAGATATAGTTTACTGATTACTCCTCACAGTTGGTTATATTCAGACATTATCTAAGAAGTAAGGTTTCTGGGTACCACAAATGGCTTGTGCTTGACTACTAACCAAAAGTTGGTGGTTTGAATCTGCCAGTGGTGCCATAGAAGAAAGGCCTGGCAATCTACTTCTGTAAGATCATAGCCATTGAAAACTTAATGGAGTGCAGTTCTACTCTGATACACATAGGGTTGCCATGAGTTTTACTCATTGACAACTGGTTTGCTTTTTTTTTTTTTTTTTTTGGTTTTATCTAAGAAGTGGAGACCTTTAAAAGCAGTTGCCAGGAAAAGTGTGGGGTATCAGAGAATGACAGAAGACACAGATCTCCTATTGCTTACTAGTATTCAGCTAGATTTTTCTGCAACACAATTAACCCCTTTGGTAAACTATAAAGGAAATAAAAATGCATACATTTGATTGTAATTTAAAGGAACATCACAGCACATTTTGCTTACACAAAATAACTTGTAACTTACTCATGTTTTCACACTTCTTCAGAACGGATTTTTTGTTCTGCTTGTCAGGTTTTCAATGCTGAATAAATTTTTTTTTCCTATTCTGGCAAATATGTATTACAAAACTAAATGCCTCTTCTCTCCCCCTGCCTTTTTTTTTCTATTTGTCGAACAGCGCTTCCCGACAGAGGACCATCTGATGATTCATAGGCACAAGCATGAAATGACATTGAAGTTTCCCTCAATAAAAACAGACAATATGTTATCAGGTAAGGAGCCATCAGGCAGAGAGGCTTTGGAGGACCAGACCAGTCACATGCGAGATATTTGACCTACCATTGGTAGCTGATTCGTACTGACAAATTCTGCACCTCGGAAGTATACAGTTCGGAGGTATAGCAGAGAGTTAAAATAGTACGAAGCAGAAATGTAATCAGCTAATGGAAGGTTCACCCAAATAATTGAAGAGCTGAGACTTCTCATTTTCTGGAAATGTAGCACATTTTTTATCATGAAACTTGTCTCCATATAAATAGTTTTTATCATTATGTACCTGTAACCACTCAAGCAACAAATATTAATTGAGCATCTATAATGCACACTGCACTATTCTGAGTGCCATGGGAGTTACAAAGATTGACGATTCTGTTCTCCAGGATATCACCATACAGTATGCATGTGAAAGCTTAGCTGAAATTAAGGACCGTCCATAATATATATCAAATGAGTATTGTAAGCAAAAATGCTTTAAGAATTTTGTAGAAGGAGTCCTCCTTCTGTACTGAAGTGGTCAGTGAAGGTTTCCTTAAGAAACAGTACCTGCATCATAAGTGAAAGATTAAATGAGATAATGCATGGAAATATAGCAGGCACTCAGCAAATGTGAGCAGAAATAAATACCAATAATTAATTCATCAATTTATTGTCCTTCCTTCCCATTTGGAGAGCTGAACAAGCAAATGTTCCAAATGAGAGCTTGATAGGAGTACATGGCTTCTTCTCCTTCTCTCCTCCTTTCTGTCATTAATCTTGGGATCAGCAAGTTCAGTTTTCCATGTGGAGGGTGAAGAGAGAGACAGGGCCATTCTCCAAGTTAGGGCTGTGTGTACCACCTCTATGTCCATCTGCTCTTGTGTGTGTGTGTGTGTGTGTGTGTGTGTGTGTTGCTGGAGAGCGGTAGAAATATTGACCTAGCAGATGATGGATTTTGCTGAATGGAGGGGAAGATGAAGTTTAAGAGTGTTGTGGACCTGTCTCAAAAGGTAAAACCCAATCAACATCTCAGATGGCGAGCCTGAGAAAGAGACCCCGCCTGATAATGGGACCATGTCTTTAAATGCCCAGTAATCCTATCACCAGACATCATGGCCCAATTAATGCTGCAGGCAACTGGTTGGCACTTAGAGAAGTTAGGACAGGCATGAGCCAACGCATGGAAAAGAGGCTGAAGTGTCCTTCCACCACCATTCATTCATTCAATAAACATTTATTGAGTGCCTACAAGGATCCTATTGTGCTAGGTGCTAGGCATGATGCACTGAACAAAACAGATGAGGTGCCTCTTCTCATGGAGCTTACTACACTCTAGTGGGGGTCAGGAGGGAGACAGACAATAAACATCAACAGCAACAACAACAACAAAACAGATAAATAAACAAGAAAATATTAGTGACAAGTGCTAGGATGAAGATAAAACATGATAATATGACAGCAAACGGCAGGCAGGCTGCCCAAGGGTATGTGGTCTGGAAAGGCCTCTGCATGTGAGCCAAGACTTGATGTTCAGCACTATAGGCTCAGGGATCCTTTCTCCCTGACTTCTGAATGTGGTGAGACTGGAAGTGGTAAGACAGAAAGATCAGATTTGGTGCAGCTGATCACACTGTGAGCTGCTACTTGAAAGGAGAGGCAAGAGAGCCTGACTCCCTCTTTCCATCTTCCTTACCAGATTCTCAGCACTCACCACCTGACTCTGAACATCTAACGTAAATGACAACAGTCCTTCAGAACCCAACTGTGTCCCTGCATTGGGTCTAGAATCAGGGTTCATTTCTCATTCCAGGCTCTAAACCTAATTACCACCATGGAATAAGCAAGTACACTATTCAATGAAGTAGAACATTGTTGTCAAAGAGACTAATCATGATCAACTGACAATCACAGAACCCACATGCACTGTGCATGGCTCTTGGCTACAAACCCTACTTAGTAACTGTGGGTATTTTAAGAGAAAAGCCATAGGGAGATTGACACAACTCACCTCAAACTCTTTTTGACAATGAGCTGAGATGTAAAAAAGATGGTTTACTGCTGGAGTCCTTGGATAGAGCAAATGGTTAAGCATTGGGCTAGTAACAAAAAAATTGGCGGCTCGAACCCACCCAGAGGCATATTGGAAGAAAGTCCTGATGATGAACTATCTACTTTGTAACACATGGCATCTCCATGAGTTGGAATCCACAGTGATGAAAACCCTATAGTAGGCAGTTCTAGTCTGAAACACATGGGGTTGCCGTGAGTCATAGTTGACTCAACAGCAACTGATTTTACTGGTTTACTGATTGAGTAAATGAATAGTACACAGACACACACACACATACACACACACACACACACACACGGCCCATCCTTACTTCCTCTCCTTGGCAATTCTATTGATGGTGAAGGTACTATTGTGAGCATGGTAACTTCCCACCATGCAAATTAATTGAATCTTTATGGAACAGAGGACAGTAGAGATAGCTTGCATTAGAGGGTAGACTGATAATAATAAGTGTCCATTTATTGCCTGTTTCCTTTGTGCCTGTAATTATGCCCCCTGCTTTACATACATTGTCATTTCATCCTTGCCACTTTTATAATATGAGGAAACAAAATCAAGAGGATAAGCAGTTTGTCCAAAGTCCCTCTCTGTCTATAATTTTCTCACTATACACCTAGATTTGGTGAGCATATACTAAGGTTGTGTTTGGGTCTTAGATTTATATTTTAGTCATAAATCTATGGACTGCTTATCTCTTCAATAGTCATCAAAGCAAAAAAAGTCAAAAGTTTTTAGATGGAGATTATACTAAACACTCTGGCATTGAGAGGAGCAAAGTATTGCATTTTTTAAAAATCAGATTTACTCATCCACTAGAAGAATTTCTGACAAATAGAACATAAGTGGCTATTAGCATTTATAGGAATTTCTACTTTCTCATCTGTCTTGGTTTTCTTGTGCTGCTATAACAGAAATACCACGAGTGGATGGCTTAAACAAACAGAAATTTATTCTGTCACAGTCTAGGAGGTTAGAAGTCTGAATGCAGGGCACCAGCTTCAGGGGAAGGTTTTCTCTTTCTGTTGGCTCTAGGGGGAAAGTCCTTGTCATCAATCTTCCCTTGGGTCTAGGAGTTTCTCAGCACAGGGACCTCTGGGTCCAAAGGATATACTCCACTCCCGGCTCTTCTTTCTTATGGTAGGAGGTCTCTCCTGTCTCTGCTTGCTTCTCTCTTATATATCAAAAGAGATTGACTCAGGATACAACCTAATCCTGCAGATTGTGTTCTGCCTCATTAACATAACTGCCTCTAATCCTGCTTCATTAACATCACAGAGGTTAAGATTTACAACACATAATATAATTACATTAGATAACAAAATGGAGGACAACCACACAATACTGGGAATCATGGCCTAACCAAGTTGACACATATTTTTGGGGACACAATTCAATCTGTGACATCACCCATGTTTCTAGATGGTCAAGCATAATAGAATTTTGGATAATTTACCTGAATACCTTGGAGGCCTTGCTCTATAGTACTTTTATATATGAAAAACTGGCTTCTAGTCTATTTCACCTGGAAACCAGTCCATTTTGACAAAGCAGTGTAGGGTAACTCCAGCAGTTAGTGAATTAAGTGGAAATACTGAGCTTTAGCTTCCACTATTCAGGGCTGATTTTATGACCTATATTGATAAAGACGATCACCTTGGATCCCTTAGTTTACTTGGCCAGCAGAGACGTGATCTCACATTGTTAATAACTCTTCTTTCCCAGCTCAGCCCCTCAAAAGCTAATCAAAATTTCAGCTTGATCATTGTTGGAACACTTGGGGTAGCCCATGGCTGAACTTACAGTTGTTAATATTAAATCTAGGCCTATGACATCTGGAGTCAGTTGGGCATGTGGTATAAGAGGTACCCTTGCCAGAGCATTTTCTAATTTACTCATAGGTATTCGTAAGGACACTCAGTCACCCAGTTCCCTACCTTGGTAATAAATGGATTCCAGCATGCAATTAAGAGTATGAGAGTGTGTCCTGTCTCTCACTGACCTGGATCACTTCAGCCAGGATGATTTTTAAGCATGCCAAAGCTATTGTTAAAAAAAAAAAAAAGATTCTCATTGGTTTTTCCCATTGTGGCACTGCCTCTTGGGACAGACACAGGGAAATAGTAATATCAGTATTACTGAGAGGATCCTATCATATATTCACACCAGTGAAAGGTATATTTATTGCAAAGAAGAAGCCTGTCTAAAATTCCATGGAATTCTGTCAGTCGTTACTGACTATTGCTCTTATAAAGAATTTCATATTTTGAAATTCATTTAAAGTAAATTCTCTTAATTAGGACTTTATTAAAATTCAGATAGGGACTAAGTTGGAATATTTAGAGAAAATATTTGCTGAAAAATTCATGGCATAAATATAACTATAAAAAGAATATTACAAAGACCTAAGGAAATACCTTTTTTGAGAATCCCAATCTTACTAAAATAGATATGCCAATTCCAATACTTTTCTGAACCGATTTGAGTGGCCCTCTTGAGGAATTCCATTAAGCCACATTTTGTTGGCTAAATCTGAGTCACAAAAATAATAAAAATATTTTGCCTTTAAATGTCCTATAATTAGAATGTTCACTGATTCAAACTGACCTTTATTATAACTGGTCTGAATTAGTGAGGATTCTATAGTATTATGAAAACAAAAACCAAACTCACGGCCGTGGAGTGGAGTCTGGCCACCCCATAGGACAGAGTAGAACAGCCCCATAGGGCTTCCAAGACTGTCAATCTTCACGGAAGCAGAATGCCATGTTATTCTCCCGAGGAGAGGCTGGTGGGTTTTAACAATCGACCTTTTGGTTAGCAGCCTAATACTTTAACAGCTGCACCACCAGGACTCCTCATAGTATTATTAGCCACTATCAATTTAATATAAAATAATGTAAAATTACTTTACACTATCGTTTAATAATACCATAGTTGAGAATATCA